TAACTTTAATGTAATAGATATCTGCATCCATTGGATGTTGTGTTTGGAATCACCTGCTTCGTTTTAAGGTGGTAAACAAGTTGTTTATATTTTTTCCTTTCTACACACTTTGCAGATTATTTTTTCTGCACTCCACGTGTTTAATCTGTGCGCGCTCCGGCAGGGTGACAATCATCCCGTTTATGCTTTACTTTTTTTCTTTTTTGAAAGACAGTCTGACTGTCAGCCTTTCCCACAGCGCTTCTCCATTGTACAAGGAGACAGTAAAGGCTGAGTTTTATAGTCGCGCTGTGGAACGCACATGAAGTGGGCGTGGAGTGCGTGTGCATTCGGCCGTGCGTCGTCGCGCTATGACCGCAGGAGAAACAAGGTCCAGACTCGGCGAGCTTTTGTGCGTCCTGGAGCACTACTTCACCTGCACTGACAGTCGCCTTGCTGCGTCATGTGCCGCGGCGCGCGCTCCTCCCGCAGCAGGCAGTGTGGTCGGTCGGCATTCGACCGGAGGACGCGCCGTCACACAAATATGTAAACAGTTCAGCGTTCATTTTTGCACACCTGAACCAGGTCCGGTTCGAGTGTTTTTTTTTGCCCTCTTCATTTGCGCTCTCAGCCAGGCTGCTTCCTGCTTCCTCTGTTTTGACTCCAGCTGGTTACATCATCAAAAACAATTGTGCAGTTGGCCGGTAGACTACAGATCTCTATCATAGGACAAATTTAAATAGTTTCTACCGTATATCGTTTATTTCGCGCATTCCTAACTTTGTGTGATTTTAGCTCCTGTGTGGAGTTTCTTGCACGAGTATTTTTGTTGTTCAAGTGTTTTTGTTTTTCTTGTCAAGTTTCACCTTGACCTGCAACCCACCATTTTTTGTCAAACCAACCTTTTTGCTTGTAAAACCAAGCCAAACTTCATGTTTGTGTGGAAGTCAAGCCTCCTGCACTCTTGCTTGTGAAGCCAAGCCGTCCACCTGTTTGTAAAGTCAAGCTGAGTTGGAACTTTTGAATTTAAGTGGTTTTAAACACCACTCTGGGGGTGGATTTGTTTAAAGTTTTGTATTATTTGTGTTGTATTTTGTTCTATTTATTATATTACTATGTTACTTAGTATTTAATTGAGGTTTAAACTTAGCCTGGCCCTTGCCTTCCTACGCAGCTCCGCTCAATTCTAGTTTCCCTTCTCTGCTCCGTCTGGGACTTCTCCCATTAACAAGGATTTCACTGGCAGATTTTTAGCCGGACCAATCAGAGAACAGAACATCAATTTTCTGCGCAGTGTCTGCTTGTAGTTTATTTCACCTGGGCCAATCAGAGAACAGGAGGAGGAGTTTTGAACGACGTCGACTTTCTGCACAGTGTCTGCTAGTTATTTTAGCATACAGCAGTGGAGGAAGTGAATGAAGCCAGTCTGTGTTGATAAGGCTTCAAATTAAAATAAATTTGTCTGACAAAGCAGCAGCTCTCATTTACAGTCGTCTCGTTCGGCTCGGTGTATTTCTCCTCTCAGTAGGGTTGTTTACAGCACATGCGATTTCCGGTTAGCTTCTTAGCTTAGCCTCCTTCACAGCGACATACGTCACAGCCAACTGATCCAATCATTTTAAACTTCAGCAGAGGCCACGCCTCCTGCGAGAATCACTTCTCTATGCATCAAGTCCAGACCCTTGTACGAAGCAAAGTGAAGGACAGGGTCTGGTTTAAACCAGGCTAATATTAAACAGGGTATGTATTTATAATTTCTTATACTTTACATGTCCTGGTATGGCTGGTAAAAATAAAATAACTCTAAACCATATATAAAACAGCTAAAAACTCAGTCCGGTCTAAAAATATCCTACATGTCAGGAGGGAGACCTGACTGGCGCCCAACCTAATTATTCAAACTAATAACAATAAAATCATATCAAAACCGGTACCATCACAACACGCCGAAAACAAGCTTCCTGTTGATTTTTTTTCAATTCCATCTTCAATGTACAATAAGGTGCAAAGGTTAGGGCAGCCTTGTTAAGTTTCCTGATTTACCTTTATAAATCACTGATTGTTTGGATAAAAAAAATCATTTAAGTATATCATATAGGGGACAAACAGTGATATTTGAGAAGCGAAATGAAGTTTAAATGATTTCATAAGTCGGCATAAGTTGTCTAGTGTGACAGGGCCTGTGGTCTAGACCGTCTCATTTTACAGTTGTTTATGCAGCCGACACGAGTGGCCGACGTCGGCTACGTTGGTTGCAACCCATGAACTGAGACACAGCCAGTTTAGCTCAAATATTAGCATTGTGAGTAAACGTTAGCACTTGCCAACAGTCCCTTATTAGCTGGAATGTCTGTATTTTAATCCAAATCAAAGTGTCCTGTTCGGGACGCTCTTTCTCCTGACTGTCACTATTCAGAAGGTACAGAACGACCATGTGAAACAAAGTGCATTGAAATGACGGTCGACTTGTACATTTCTAAATTATTTATGATGTTATGTTACGGTCTCCTATGTTCCTACCTGTTGTGTGTGGAAAAATTTAAAATCTATAAATAAAGTTGAATAAAATAAAAATAAATAAATAAATGTATTTATTAATTATTAAAATCTAAAAAGATGCCACCAATATGTGACCCATCACATCGACACAAGGATTAAGTCTAAAAGTGGTATATGGAGAAATGGGCAAATATAGTGTTTTGATGAAAACATTAAAACATTTTGTGTTTTGTCAAAATATAACGAATTAATGCCTTATCAATGTATCATTTGAATGAACTGTCTGAAATATAATCATAAAACAAAATTTTGAAGCCCTTTTATCAGCAGTAGCAACAATAAAAACTTATTTTGAGGAAAAATTCCTTCAAATTTTTAAGATTTTCCCTGTGAGTTAGCAAAGTGTTGTTGCTTTTCAACTGGGAAATCTCAATATTCAAATATAATTTGAGGTTTCCTCTTTATAAGGACATCAAAAATTCTTCATTAAAATTATATAAAATTAGGATTCAGGCCAAATATTTATGTATTATTGTAACCAACAAGACAAATTAAGTCATATATATGGATTTACTGATATCAGAATGATCCAGGTATCAAAATGTAGTTTTTAAAGCCAAGAACCTGAAAATGTAATTAGGTCATTTTGACCAAATTTGACTTAATCCTCATTTTTATATGATGGGTCATATTTATTATCAAACTATGTAATGGCACATTTGGCCTAATCACACAAAACATACTGGATTTTTTTTTTAATAAAATTTTGGGACAAAAAATTGGCAATATATCGCCTTGCTTACAGAATCACAATATATCATGATATACTGTATTGCGACCTCTGTGTCATGGAATTGAATAGAATAGAAATAGCCTTAATTTTCGCACAGAGGGGAAATTCAGGTGTCACAGCAACATCCGTTCAGAAGTTCACACACTAGTTACTTTACAAACTACAGATAGTACACACAAAACAAAAATTAACACTGACCAGCCATGATACGAGTACTAATAATAAAAAATATATAATATACAGAATTGTGCAACAATAGAAAACAGTGGGCCTCATGCAAGAACATGTTCGTATTCTTCTCCTAAATTTCTCTTACTTTTGTTCGTACAAAGGGTTCGTACGAACATGTCACGTCAGATTCAACAAACTCTTCTATCTTCAGGAAAAGTGTGTAAATGAGCTGCGTAAATTCCACCTGTTCTATCCAGCTGCTCGTGCACGTGAGAGGAGATTAGCATAATTACCACCCCAAAAACACCATATAAGGCTATGTTTCCTGCCTCAGATACAAGGAAGTGTCCATTCATAAATGACATCGCAAAGTAAAAAAGAAGAACTTTACGAGTTCGTAGATTGAAGTCCTGCTCTCCGAGATCGAGAAAAGAAAATCTGTTCTCTTTAGCAGCGTCAGCTGTGGAATTAAAGGAGCTGCTTAAAGGAATGAAATGTGCTGTTAATGTTGTGTCTCCTGTGGGTCGTTACAGTCACAGAAATAAAAATCTGAATCATCTTCATCTCTCTCTAGTCCTGCTTCGGTTTTTCTTTGGTCAAATATTTTTTAATTTAAGTGTAAACAACTGTATAACTGTGTTTACATTCTGGCCGTCTCCCCCCTCCCGGCGGTCACAAGTGACAGATGCGGTTCTGAAAAGACACATTTTAAAACGTCTCCAAACTTCAATTAATGCATAATTTAAGTTGTTTTTTAGTTTGTGATCTTCATATTAATATTGTAGTGTTATACAACAGCATTAAAAGACAATTTAATTTAATCTAATCAATTTATGTTGTTAAAATCTAATTCCAGTTCAAACAGAATAAACTATTGTCAACATAATTATGGAGTGTGACTTATTTTCAACTCAAAATATCTTCAAACTAACGAAATATAAAATTATTAGGGAGGAAAACCCGTCTGGATAACAGCAGACTGACTGCTGGTAAAATATACGACAGGTCTGGACCACTCGTGAATTTTGTTTGTATCTGAAAAAAATCTTAGAATACYAAAACATTGGTGAATGCCACAAATTCTCCTAAATCACTCGTACGCACAACTTAAGAACAAATCTGTGCGTACGAACGGTTCTTGCATGAGGCCCATTATGTTTTGTTTTAGATATGTATCGCATAGCCAAATTCTGGCCTGCAGTTTTACTTCCTAACACAAATGTTTTTTTTTTTCTACTGGCATCCCTTAAAAAATATTTTTTTGGCTACAATGTTTGAATAACGAGGATCTGCACTAATCATACATAAGAAAAGTACCCAGAACTCCATTTGTAATTTATCGTTCTGTCACCTGTTATTTGAGAAACGGTCATGAGGTGATTTTAAACTCCTGAAAGCTGATTTATTTACTAAAGATATTAAAATACTTTTCCAACAACAGACATTTTAGTTTTACAATGACCCATGTTTGAAATCAATCAGTTTCATCTGTCAGCTACAGTGGCCCAGAAGGGTCAACAGAACGACAACATGACAGCAAAACTCACAAAACAACACAGCAGTAAAAAGCCACAACACAACAGCAAAAACCACAACAAAAGTTTTGCTACGATATAAAGTGAATATAGAAATATTACCAGGAAATTCTAAATTTGAAAGTACTTGAGCTAATAACTTCCATTGTGGCTTTTGCTGTCATGTTGTGAGTTCTGCTGTCATGTTGTGAGTTCTGCTGTCATGTTGTGAGTTCTGCTGTCATGTTGTGAGGTTTGCTGTCATGTTGTGAGGTTTGCTGTCATGTTGTGAGGTTTGCTGTCATGTTGTGAGTTTTGCTGTCATGTTGTGAGGTTTGCTGTCATGTTGTGAGGTTTGCTGTCATGTTGTGAGGTTTGCTGTCATGTTGTGAGTTTTTGCTGTCATGTTGCAGTTGTGCCCTTTCTTTCTGTTGACCCTTCTGGACCACCGTAAATAGCAAAATGTTAAAAATATTTTACTGCAGGAACAAACTCAATCACTGGAGTAATTAAAAGCCTTTTAATAATTATTCATTTAAATAACTTTTTTATTCTAAATCACAAATATTCATTCATTAAAGATTTGCTGAACATTTTATGACAAATCTCTAAAAACCTGTTAAATTGATGTCCTTTCCCTCACCTTGTTTAATGGATTTTTTTGTTAACACAAAATTTAGATTTTTAGAAAGCAGACTTCAATATTTAAAACCAGACACATGATCTTGGCAACTTCATAAAGTTGTTTAAAAACTCTTATAATTGAAATATTTAACGTTTTTAAAAAATCAAACCTACTTAAAGATGCTCTAAAACTTTACAAACATCAGAGTTTCATGGTCTGACAGGTTTGTCTGAACAACAATCCACACAACACAGTGAAGCTGTTGTTGCAAACTGCATTTAGCCAGCAGCTAAGTTACGCAAATTCAGCTGGCAGATTAGCAAACAGTTCACAACAATAACGCAACAGCCGGTTATTTACGTCTCCCGGTGTGACCCAGTTATCTATAAGACCTTCTGCCGTACAGTGACACTGGCTTTGGTTTACAGATAAACAGAAAACCTTGAACTTTACGAGCATTAACAAAGCACATCAACATTTCCAGACTGTTAGCATTAGCGGCTATGTAGCTAGCCGCCGGTGTTGAAGGCTGAGGTTGCATTTTTCGGCATAACACCGGTAACTCCTGGAAACAGCTTACCTTTATTACCGGAGCCTCCGAGAGTTTTTCTTTCCACTTTCCTGCGTAAATAAACTCTGTCAATATAAAACACTGAACTAATACAACACTCACAACTCGAAGACCGAGTTTGTCCAATTTCTCTGGGTACTAGCTGAGCTCTCTGCTCTCTAGTTGGACAGACGGACTTGTGTTGATTCTGGTTTAGGACGCCGCAGTGTGACGTCATGACGTAAAATGACCAGGGGTTGCACACTTGTAGCCCGGCTGTGTCTGGAAGGGCCGGGCGGCGTTTGTGCTCTATTTCAGTATCAGCCTAAACTCCACTCAGACTCACCGGCGCACAAGTTGTTTTCATGCCAAGGTTGCAAATACAATAAATAAATGTGGTGAACATAGTTGTAAAGTAACTAAGTATAAATACTTTGTTACTGTACTTATGTAGAAATCTTGGTTATCTGTACTTTACTAGAGTAATTATTTTAAGCGTGCTTTTCACTTTTACTCATTACATTTGTACACAGTTATCTGTACTTTCTACTCACTACATTTTTAAAAAAGTTAAAAAGTAGAAAGTTGTTACTCCTATTTCATTCCCAGTTGTTAATACTTAAAAAAAATACTATCCTGATAAATTGTGTCTCCTGGATAGAGTGAATTTAATTGTGGTTGGATGAGAAGTATAAATATATACCATTCTGACACACTATTAGCTTGTACACAACCCATCACAGCTGCACGCTGTTAGAAAATATATTTTTGGAGAAGTCACCTCCCAATAAATGTCATTTTGGAAAKTRTAACTYDTCACTTTTACTCAGTACTTTTACTTTTAATACTTAAGTAGATTTTGTGTCAGAAATTTACTTTTGATACGTAAGTACAAAAAATATCAGATACTTTAAGACTTTTACTCAAGTAATATTTTTAGAGAAGACTTTAACTTTTACCGAAGTATTTTTATGATGATACTTGTACTTTTACTCAAGTATCACTTTGAGGTACTTTATACAACACTGGTGGTCAAGATGCTGAATAGGATGCTGTGTTAATCTGGAGTCCATCATTGCTTATGTTTTATTATGTTTTATTCAGTTTCATTTTATCTTTTCACCATTTTTACATTGTTAATAATTGTACGGCACCTTGTGAATATATTTCTGTGAAAGGCGCTTTATAAATAAAACTTTACTTACTTACTATTTTTATCTCTATTGAAAATTCATGTTTATGACATAATGACCTCCAGTCGCTCTGATAGGTCTACGGTGGTTTCAGGTGTCGCCTTCCCCAGTAGAGAAACGTTTTATCCACACCGAATAGAATGAGACTCCTCCCTTGCCTCCTATCATTCCGAACACCCGGGTCACCGTCCGGCTGATAGAAAGGAACGCACCCTATCATGTTAGGGTTTATGGGCTCAGAGTTGTGACAGAGCTCTGAAGGAGACGGACTAGGGAAAACCCCGAAGACTAGTCACACTCATTCTGAAATAACTGCCAAGATATTTAGAGATGTTCAATAATCAGATACTCACAACAATAATTTACATATTTTCTTAGGATTAATCCATCCAAATTACAAAATATAACCACAATGACATGAAAATTGTATTTTAATTCTTTAATGGAAATCTCAATAACATTTAAACATTGTCACCAGTGAGACAACAGAAGACAAACACCGTTAAAAATGTAATTTTTTTTACAAATAAAAATATGTAAAGACAAAATAAGCACAACACATATTTCGGAGCCAGACCTGGGAGTGTGTTTATGTTCATTTACCAGCTCCGTGATTCACCAGGCCACCTCTGAAATGTAGTGAATATTTGCTAGGGTGAGCTGTGCCTCTCGTGCTGAGTAGAGACGCCTGGAGCGAAGCCACAGCCTCCCAAACACCACGGTGACCAGCAGCAAGGCCATCAGCAGGCCTCCGAGGACAAACGTCTCCACAGGTGGGACACCGCTGGGGTCTACAACCAACAGAACCAGATTTAGACCCACCAGTTAAACAACAAAAGGGTCATTGCTGAAGTGATGTTCTGTCACAGTTATCAGTAGTTTGACATCAGTCAAACAACACTGAGGATAAAGAAAAGTGTTGAAAGTCTTCCTCCAGTCAGACCAGGCTCAAAGCTTTAATCAGTGATTAATTGTGATTCGTTTCCCATCCAAGTCATCTCAACTTTGGTATGCCTCTCCCCCTGCACACTTTGTCCTAGAGCTGCTATTATAATTTATATCTGTAAAGTTCCTGTGTCAAATGAAGGCTATGCTTTTTGGTGCCTGTAAAACTTATGGTTTATGAAATATTAATGTTTAATAAATTATAATGGTAGTCAATAGAGCCTTGTATTGGTCCAATACTGCCCCATGCTTTACTCAACTTGGTACTGCACCATAGTTTAATAATATTTCAACTCAATAGTTCAGTGTTTACAATACTAATATGATTGTATTTTGATGTTTTACTACAATATTGTCCTACTATTGCTTTATTGTTGTAATGTATTTCAAATTAGTGACAACCATTACATTGGCAATGTGGCCACTTTCTGCACACATACAAACCAACCCCCGGCAGGGTTCTCTACCACAGCTCTAATGGTCTAATGGTTCGTGCCATTGGCTTTCATGTGGGAGATCAGGATTCGAAACCCAGCAACAGCAACTTTAACAGAAAATCTCTACAAACTTCATACTGTCACACAATTACCCTTTTTACAAACACCTGCTGACTTGACAAGCACAAGCTGGTATAGAAAACACATTTGAACTTTGTCACACTTTATTCTGCAAGTCCATTGCTGAAGGCAGTGACATGCTACATGGCAATGCACACTTGTTTTTACATCGTAAAAAAACCATGTCTAGTGGTTAGTTTGTTGTTGTTTTTCAGGCTTATAAAACGGCGTCTGGTTTCTCAAAAACAGCCTGTTGCATTAGCTAATATTAAAACTTTACACAAAACATTACACAGCTTGTTTTCTCAACTGTACAACAACAATGTTCAAAATATTCATACTGTTTTTGATTAAAACCTTTTTCTACAATCGTAAAAAACAAAACAGACTCCTGTTTAAATTGCCATTATCCTAGCCTGGACAAAAACTTCAAGCTGTTTCTTCATCCTCTGTGCTCTATGACTGATGCCAGAGTTGATAAGGTGATAGCTACTATCTGACAGAACATCAGTTGTCACCAGAAATGTTGCAGATACACACTCAGATTGGGCTTGTCTTTGTCAGTTAGGAGTCGCCTGATTGGTCCATAGGACACCGTGTGGGTCAGCGGAACGTCCCTCCGTATTCTCATTAGTCCGTCTTCAGCAGAACAGTTCTGTTGGAGAAATATATATAAAAAGAGTTGCAGGTTACAGGTCTGGTGCATCTGAAATAAGGACTGCTCAACTATCAGCTCTACAACAGTGTTTGGAGGCTGAAGGGTCTAAATTAAGCTCTCCATCCAGCAGGCTGCTTGTCTGAACTGGCCTCTGGTGATCACTTCAAGCTAAAAGTGTTGGTGAGCTCACTTACAGGCTGACACAGACTCTGGCTGCTGTGGCAGATCTGCACGTTGCAGTGAAGGAAGACGTTAGTGTACGAGCTTCCGACAAACTTGAACATCTGTATCCTAAACATGGCCTCGGGACCTTCGCCGTTCTTCAGCACGCTGAGCGTCTCTTCGTTCACCAACACTGGACAACTAGTGAGACATTAAGAAGTCAGGGTCGTCTGCTGAAAGCTGGATCTCCATTTGAAACAGAACACTTTAGGTCTGAGATCATCTGATAAATGATTAAGTACATGAAATATAATCAATGTGACAAAACAGTGTTTCTCGTTTTTAGCATTGTGAAAACAGTTTACAGTAGTGTAGCATGAAGGACCCCTCCTCTGAGATGAGAGAAACCCCCTAGTAAAAGGGACGTAAACATACGTGGCTTCACCTCTATACTCTAGTCCAGTCAGTTTATCTGTCTTGATTCATGTTTTTATTATTATCTGAGAAAACAACTTGGAAACTCTGAATTACATTTTGTTAAGCCAACAGAAGGATAAGTCAACCTGAGTAGAAAGCTTTGTTTCAACTGCAAGAAATGTTGTTTTTAGCTTGAAGGAGTTAAGCTAACTAGAGGTCTTCCAGCCAAAACTGGACCTGAACTCTCCAGAAAACTTCCAGCTTTGAAATAACTGAAAATAAATGTCCTGATGCATCTCAGTAATCCAGGTAGAAAAAAACAAAAAGAAAAAATCAGTAGGTCCTCTGGATGGTTCTTCTTTAGTGAAACGTTTCGTCTCTCCTCCAAGAGACTTCTTCAGTCTGATGAGTTTCAGGTAGAGATGTGACGTTCGCGAATGATACGACTCTTTTGAACGGCTCTTTACAGCGAACGATAGGAGCCGAGTTGCGGGCAGTAATGAGCCATTTGGAGTTATATTTCTTTTATTCCTCATATAATCTTTATTTTTTTCATCCTTTAATCGCTCCCGCTTTGCTTTTTCACAGAAAACAGGTGGAGCTGTGGAGAACAGAAGCTCACAGTGAAAGAGGGAAGGGGATTTCCGCTTGACAAACACATGGTTCCACCCATGTGACGGGATTACATCATTACGTACGGCTACGTGATGATGTATTTCCCTACATGATGACATAACATGTTCAAACTCGAACAGCTCTATGAAACAAACGGCTCCCCAAGATCCAGATCCCTTCAAACAGCCGTTTATCCCATCTCTATCCACGATGAAGGGAATACCCGCCTGCACACACTCGCACACAACCCACTACTACCGCACACATTCAGTTCCCCTATCTGCTGTTTATCATTGCTCATTCAGTGCTACAGTTAACCATTAAGTCTACTGAAGTAAAAAAAAAAGTCTGATATTTTGTCTGTAAATAACACTCGTACAGCAAGTCGTTGACTTATTGGTTTGGATGCTTCGGCTGTGGCCATTCAGTGCAGTGAGTGCAAGCGGGGTTCAATGTCCCCTTGTTTTTGTCTCTATTTCCCTCTTTGTGTTGGGTATCGTTGGGGCCCTGATCCACACCTTTTGCTCACAGGGGGCGGAGTCATACTTGCAATAACAGTTCACCTGAAACTCATCAGACTGAAGAAGTCTCTTGGAGGAGAGACTAAACATTTCACTGAAGAAGAACCCATCCAGAGGACCTACTGATTTTTTTCTTTTTGGACTGAAAATAAAATTAAATTGAAAAACTGAAATAAAACAACTAACCTGACAATCTGCTCAGATCTTAAAACGTCTCTTTCATTCCAAATTCTAAAGTGAACTGGTTATTAACTAGTTAACCTTTTTAAACATGCTGCATACAAACAAATAAAACAAATAAGCTCCTGTCCAACAGAGCATCTATAATCGGAGTATCTTCCCACACCTCCCTTTAAACTATTTTCCTTTATTATTTTTTGTCTTTTATGTTAATAATTTTTACTATTCTATCCATTATTCCATGAAATCTGATTGTTCTATTTTTGTAATAAATTTCCAAAAGACAAAACTGGTTTCTTCTTCATTAAGTAATCATTGTTTATGAAAAGAGTTCCCTGCAGTCTTACGATCTCACACTGTGGTGTTTATAAGTATGATTTCCTAAAGAATGATTGAATTATTGACCAGTAAATCTGGTCTGGTGTCCCAACAGGTAAACAGTGTAGCAGAGTGCAGAAACAGTATCGCCCTTCTGTTGCTCCCCTGGTTCATGTTACAGTAGAAATGTTGTATAACTTTTTAATAGAGTTTAGTTTGTTGAGAAATCACTGGTTATTCAGGTTTATGAAGGTAACCTGTTCTGCTTTGTTCCTACATGAGTAGGCCTGTCACGATAACAAATTTTGCTGGGCGATTAATTGTCTCAAAATTTATTGCGATAA